AGATGAGATGAGATGAGATGAGATGAGATGAGATGAGATGAGATGAGAAGAGTTGAGATGAGATCAGATGTGATCAGATCAGATCAGATCAGATCAGATCAGATCAGATCAGATCAGATCAGATAAGCTATGTCAAGTGGTAACGTCTCAGAACCACGTCGTCGAGGAATGTGGACAAAGACATTCTTCATCAGCGTGATCGTCGTGACAACAAGACCATGGTGGCTATTTTGACCTTTTATGATTCCGGTCCAAATCTACTTGGTTGCAAAAGCAATGAGGAAAGACGCTTCAGTCGGGCGACTCGGACCGAAGGCACCGGGACTGTGGCCGGATGGCCGATGCAAATGGGACAAATGGGACTGACAGCCGAAGAGACACAGATACACTCAACTTTATGCATGCCAGAGGGAATATGCATGCATGGATAAATGGATGGTTGGATGGATGGATTGCTGGGTGGATGGTTGGATGTGTGGATGGATGTTTGTATGGATGGTTGTATGGATGGTTGGATGGATGGATCGGTGGGTGGATGTGTGTGTGGATAGATGGATGGGTGGATGGATTGATGGGTAGATAAATGGATGGATAGATGGATGGTTGGATGGATGGTTGCATGGATTGGTGGATGGATGGATGAATGAGTGTATGGATGGTTGGATTGAATGATTGATGGATGTATGGATGGATGGATGGTTGGATGGATGGATCGGTGGGTGGATGTGTGGGTGGATAGATGGATGGGTGGATGGATTGGTGGGTAGATAAATGGATGGGTAGATGGATGGTTGGATGGATGGTTGCATGGATTGGTGGATGGATGGATGAATGAGTGTATGGATGGTTGGATGGAATGATTGATGGATGTATGGATGGATGGATGGTTGGATGGATGGATAGATAGCGGGATGGATTGATGGATGGAATGGGGTGAGGAGTGGGTGGATGGAGGGGGAGGGAGAAATGTAAGGATCGAGAAAGGGAGGGATAATTGGATGGATTGATAGACGGCGAGATGGAGTGAAGGGTGGATGACTGGATGGATCGAGGGACGGAGAGATTGTTGTATGGATGGATGGC